CTCTGTCGCAACTCAGAAGTCTGCCTTTGCAACATAGTGTCGGGGGGGGGGAGGAGATCCTTTTATAAAGGACGCCTATGGAGAGCATCTGGGATGGGGGGGAAGAAACCGCCCAGAGGGTGGAGGAGGCGAGGCAGAGAAGAGCCGCGGGGGTGACGTCACCCAGCCGGGCGTGGCTGTTCTTCCCAGCGGCCGCCGCTCCCTCCGTGGAAGGCAAAGGCGCCCCTCCCTTCCCACGCTCCCCTCCCGAAGCCCCGCCTTTGCAGGCAACGCGGTGACGTCAGCGCGCCGCGCCAGCCAACCAATCGCCCGCCCGCTCGTTCTCTTCCCCCTCCTCCCCTCCCCACCTAACCGCCCTTGCTGGCCAGGCGAGGAGACCCCGCAGCGAACTGCCAACGCCCGGCGGAGGAGGAGGAGGAGCAGCAGCAGCAACAGCCGCGACCGCCGCCGCGCCAGCAGAAGGAGTGAACTGAATTCAGTTCAGGATAGCCTGAAGTACTGATAGTAGAGTTTTCCACAGCCTCCTCTGCCCAAGACCAAATATGAGTGCACAAATTAATGCCTGCCCCACCCTGTGCTGTTTTCCATGAAAACCCCTGTTCCTGCACATGGGAAAACATAAACAGCAAAGGTGACAGTGTGGATGGTGCAGATAGAACCAAACAGCTTCTGGCCAGTAGCTGTTAGTAGAACTGGTTCATTTTTATTTATACTTGTCCCTTCCTATTTTCTACCAGGGGAAAATCTGGATGCTAAGCCACAAAGAAGAGAGTAAGTGCAGGACTTCAAATGGCAACAGGTAAGGTCCTTTTTGATTCCTTCTTATAAGGGCCATGCAGAAATATTGCTGTCCTCTATACTGTTTCTGTTGTTTCTCAGTCCTTTTATTTCCCTCAGTTCGCAAATCTCTGATGGTTTAAGCAATGATTCTGAAGCAGGAAAGGCAAGGAAGGTTCATTTCTAAAGTAAAGAGTAGAGATGGGCATGAACTGAACTACGAACTGAAAAAATCCATGAAGTGGGCTTGATCATGGTTAGGTTCATAGTTCGCCCCACCCTGCCCTCAATCTCAAGGGGAAGAGAGTCACCTCCATTTCTCTCTCAGCGCCTGTCATCCCCTCCCCTCCCTCCTTCTCCTTTTTTGCACCCCTTCCCTTCCTGGGCGTTGACAGGGCGGCCCAAATCACTGCAGTTGTAGGGGGAAGGGAGGTGGGGAAATAGTGGGGGTGGGGAGGGCTCAAGGGTTTGCAATGTTTAAAACAGACCCGAGGGCTTTACCAGGACGAGAAGGGCTAGAATCTGGTATCAGCGGCCTTATAACTGGTCAGATCTTGGGGCCATGGCCTGTCAGTTCTCAGAGGCACCCTTGGTTCTTCCGGGTTCTTTGTGTGTGGGGGTTGAATCTGGGACTTTTCTGCCTGGGTGGTGTCTACTCTCACCGCTGAGTTGTTTGCCCGTCCCTGAAAAGGAAGTCGAGGTGCTAGTTCTCCGGACTCTAAATCAAAAGACTGATTTAAGCAGTCTCAAAGCCGAGTTCTGGAAGAGGGAGCCTTGTTACTTGTCACAGAAATGGAAACAAAAAGATGTCATGGTGATTTTATTTTTGGTACTGTGCTACATTGAAAATTGGTTCATTTTGCCTCATATGATCAGCTCTTGAGTGGCAGTGCTTCTCCAGTATTTAGCACAGGATTCTTTGCTGCCTCTGCCTGGAGATCTCTAATGTTCCCCGGTGGTCTCTCATTCAGGTGCTGACCAAGCCCAACTCTACACAATTGTCTAAAACAGTGGTTCCCAATCTTGAACTAAAACTCCCAGAAAGCCTTCACCACTATCTGTGCTGGTTTCTGGGAGTTGTAATCCAAGACAATCTGGGGACTCAAGATTGAGAGCCACTGGTCTAACATGAAGCAAGATCAGATGTGTTCAGGGTAGTATGGAGGTAGAGGTACTGTAGTTGGGAGGAGACATGGAGAAGGTTCTTGTGTAAGGGTTCCTCATCACCAGAGGTCTTTGCTCCAGAAACTGTTTATAAAAAAAGATGAAGGAGAAAGAACTGAACTTCCCTCTCCTCTGTGTGTGTGTGTGTGTGTTCTGATGGCTGATGGGAGGGGCAGAAGGATGGGGGAAAGGGCAAAAAAAGGAAACTCCTATGGATCCTGCATGGTAGAGTTAAGGCTTAATGTATAGGGATAAATCCTTATCTCCCTGAGAGGTGTGCATGTAAAGAAAATAATTGAAGGAAGTAGGAGGAGACAAGAGATGAGGCCTTATGTGGAGCAGTTATTACTCATAAGGGGCTTAACAGTAAGGAAAAAGATAGGGACTAGCACAGATAGGTCACTGCCATGTGGGGCTTATAGAGAATAATAAGGCAGTTTCCTGTCTAACAAGGGCTTGTAGTATAGAAGAAAAGCATGAGAGAGAGTAAACCAGTGCAAGGGAGTATTGCAGGCACTGCCTGACTGAGTCCTGTATTGGAGATGACAGACAGGAAGGAAATAAGGCCCAGGAGAAAATGTGGGGGGAAATGTGCAATTATTTCAGTTACAGACACTTAGGTGTAGCTGCAGCAGTAGAGGAAGAAGCTCATAATACTGGTCCTTAATTAGGATTGTAAGAGCTTTAAATATGTAGAAAGTGTTGTGAATGGTAAGAGCTGAGTCTCAACTAAAGTAGTTGGATTGAACTTCATGGGATAAATTATTCATCAAAGGGTTTAGAATGGGGTTTAAGTGCAGCAAATTCAGCCTGGATCCCACCCAGTGTTGTTTACTCTCTTTCATACAAGAAGAGAACCACCAGTTTGGCCTATGTTGTGGAAATGTGTCTTGAGATTTTTATTTGTTATTTTGAGTGACAGAGAAACTTTGAGGTCCTGGTCTGGAAGTTTTTCTCTCTCCTCTCTCACTGTAGTGTTGTACCTGCTGGGATGGTCCAGGTGGCCTTAGATGTGGTTGCAAGCCACTATATATTATTTCTCCTAGCCAGAATTAGTATCAATAGCTATATGTGCTTTAAACAAAGAATAAGGAAACAAGTCACTACCCCAAGAATTGAACTCCCAACCTCCAGCTCCGCAGCCAGCGACCTAAACCACTGAGCTATCTGGCAGTATAATAGAGCCCATAATAGAGTGACAGTATTGACTCACTATAATGATTGTTGAGATGGTGCATATGAAATCCATTGACTATTATAATGTTGTGTTTATATTTATGCCATCTAGAGATGGTGCAATCTTCTGCTGTCTTATTAGTATATTAGTATATTATAATGGCAGTAACTAACCTTTAGCATTACAGGATGCTATAATATTATTGTAATGCAGTATGCAGTGTGTCCCTTAAAGCAGTATTTACTATACAAACTTTTCTTTATTTAAAAGACATTTGTACCACAAGACATTGATAATTACAGAGAATTTGGGGATTGCCAAAAATTAGCATATGCACATTTCTTATACTGAGTGAATTGACTGTTCTGTGTGCAGCTGGTGTAGCTTTATTTATTTAACTTAAAGCGTGAAACTCAGCTTTTCAACTGATAAGGCTCTCACAGCAATGAACCACAAAGCCACTTGTTCATTTCTCACTTGTACCTTGAATGCACAGAGCCCTCTAGGATAGGCGCTCTGTTGCTCAACCTCCCCTCCTTTGCATCTGAGGATTGTACTTCTGATTTAGAGCAAGGGTGGGTAACTTTTTCACGTTGGTGGGGGGATGCATGATTCTGTTGCTGACAGGGCCCTAGTCAAATCCAGGCAGACTGACTCCTTTTCCCCTCTCTCTCCCACTCTCTCTGCTTCCCACTTCCCTTTCTTCCTTCCCATGTAACATGCTGCTGGAGAAAGGACAGATGGGTCCTGCAGAGGCCTGAACTGATCACGTGCAGAGGCTTTTGCAGTTAGACTGTGGGCTGCAAGTTGTCTCCTCCTCTAGAGAGTTTCAGTAAGGTTTGCTACAATCATATACTGTATGTGCCCTGTACTATGGGAGAGACTAGGAGTGTTGTATACGACCATGCTCAGATATAGAGCGGAGACGTAAGAGGACGTAATATGAACTGCTCTGTCCTTTAGTCTTGCTTTTAGCACTTCTGACTGGTGAAGGGATGGATGTGTCTTTGCCTGTCCACAGTAGAGTCAGCTTTGCTGTCTTAGCCACCTGCAATCTGTGCATATGGTCACCACCTATGCCTGCACTTTGTGCAAGAAATTTTAATTATTGAGGGATCCTATTTATTAATAGGGAGAGGAGCTGCTGATTATGATACTGCTGCAAGATATCACATATTAGAGGTCTGTCTTTGAAGAGGCTCACTGTGTAGTCTTGTTCCTTGGCTAGAAATGATGCATTAATCTGACCTTGAAATATTACTGCCTGTCAGCTGTAAATCAAGGCATTTAATGTATGTGTCTCTGGAAATTAACCTAGGTATGTCTTGTGCATTTATGCAGACAGATGATAGATGATGGTGTTAGAAAAATGTAAGCCGTGTTCATGCAGAATAATTGACTAATTACTGTAGGGCATTTGGAGGACTTTTTCTGGTTTACAGACCAGCTTTAGGTGTATGTGTGAAGGCTACATTTCTCAGATTAGAGGGCAAGTACTTCATTCATTTACAAGATGGAACATCCTGAATGGCACTTTAATATGTCATATAACTACTTGTTTTTCATGTGTAAACCATATTTCTGGGAATACATGGGTAGTTGACTAGTTGTGTTTCTGTTTTATGGCTGGCAAAGAATGATCTACTGAAATAAACCTTTTTTCCCCAATGGTGCTTACAAGTATTCTGTTTCTTAACCATGTAAAAGAAGTGGTAGAAAAACTTCAGAAGTTGCTGGAGTCTAGTTTCCATTCACCAGCCTGGCTCATGAGAAGAAATAAGGGGAGTACTGATTCATAGAAATCTGGAGAGTCCTTAGTGCTTGACTTAAAATAAATCTGGTCATTTGGGAGTTGTTGGTTTTATAATGAGAATGACCAAGCATGATACAATGTAATATATGGTATCACATATATCATATATTCAATGTTTTTTTTAAAAAACAATGTTTTTATCTTCCTGAGATGAATCTTTTTAATTTGAAAAAGACCGTTAAACCCAAGTAGCTATCTTGAGTTAGAGTCCAAGGACTCAGTGTAACTTACTTCTGAGTAAACCTGAGTTGGGCTGGGCTGTTAGAGTCACAGATGCCTGTTAGCCTAGTTCAAAGGGTTATATTTTTGACCCTGCAATTATCATGTGTATTGCTTTAAGTCAGTGGTTCTCAAGCTGTGGAGCCGGGATACACAGGTATATCCTTATGTGCTCCTGACTGGCTCATGCAGTGAGGGCCTTTGTTTTTTTCATTGCAGTCAGTACACTATTGTTATATGGCTTAATTTGTTCTTGACTATGGTCATATATCATGGCTGTAGTCCAGGTGCCCACTGCCTGTAGATGACTTCACTGACATTAAAAAAATAAAAAACAAAGTGAACAAAACCACCCTTTTTTGGTGTTCACTGATGCTTGTGATTTTCTTGTGTCTTCAGTTTTAGGGAGAGGTATTGAAGGGTGTTGTTAGTCTGGAAGTGTGTCCTGAAAGGTTAAAACATGAAAAGTACTGCTTCAAGCCAAATGTTTAGCAGTGCTCTCTGTTTCTGGTTATGTGTGTCATAAATAGGTATCCTGCTTCCAGTAAAAGTGCAATAGATTTTTGATTTCTTTAGTAAATTTCCAGTACTGTCTTTGGTTATGAGTAACCTCTTACTGGGGACTGTTTACTCTTTTGCCAGGTTGTTAGAGATATGTAGTCTCTACTCAGAGATGTACTGCTGATCTTCTTATTTCCAGGTAAAGGGTATAGGTCTAGTAGCATTATGCTGTGTTCAGAATCTGGCCCAGTTTTGGTGTGTGCATGTCTATAGAAATCCTGTTGGCATCATTTACATTGATGGCATCAGTGGCGCCCTTAAATTTTCAGAAATTAAACATTTCTGACTCATTTCCTGAAGCTTCCATATAATCCCTTTCATTTTTAGGGAACTGTAGGAAGATAAATGGGTACATTATCAAAATTGTTGCAGCTGTCCTCAGCCTTATGGTTTTAATTATGCCAAAATTATTTCAGTGTGTAAAACTCGTGAGTTTCTTATAGGAAAATCACAGGGTAAGGATAGGTATGGAGGAATATGTATGCATATATACAATTTCTCTTACAGAAGAAACTTAACAGAAATAACAGAAGAAGTAGTATCTGTTTTGTTTCCCTTAACTGGGAGTATATAATAAAGCAACTTGGAGTAGAACTGAAAGTTGAAATAAAACGTATTTTGTCACACAAGTTTCTAAAAGGTAACCCAGGTGTTCTTGGACTGCAATTCCCAGAAGCCTTCACTACCAAGTGTGCTGGCCAGGGTTTCTGGGAGTTGCGGTCCAGGAACACCTGAGTTTCTCAAGGTTGAGAACCACTGGTCTGATGTATTAAAGGAAAATGATTGATGACTTTGTTATCCACAATCCTTTCTCCCCTCCCCACTGTGTGTATTCTGTGTGTGCTTGTTTGTTTGTACCTGGAAATTTAGATGACATTTTATGACCTTTGTACAGCGGACCGAAGGATCACAAAGAGCATAATGCAATGAAGTGTTTAGCCTGTAAGGGGGAATTATTTTAAATGTATTACTTAGTAGATTTAGTACTTTAGCAACAAAAAAAGGGGGATGGTACAAAATACATGAGAGATTCTTTTTATCTTTCAAATCAGTTTAGGTTTACAAAGCCTTGATTAATTTGTTCTCTTGTTGATGAGATGTGACTGATACTTCTGAGTAACTATTTGCAAAACAGGAAGGAAAAGACTTGTGGTTAAAAGCTGAACTCCAGCCTTGATACACAGTGTATAGACTGAAGTTTCTAAGCTCAGCAAGAATAAGCAGCTTAGGGGTTATTATGAACTTTGAATTCCTGATCAGGCAAATACTGCATTTCAGGGTAGCCCTTTGTGTCATATTACTGCTTCATATATAAAATATTAAGTGGAGATACGTCATGCAAGTTTTAGTTTAATTCCTTCTGTTTCTAATGAGAGATTCTTTTTATCTTCTTAGTTCTACTCCCCCCCCTCAATTCGCACCTTCGTGAAACTTTCCTGGGACTCAGAAGTGATAGGGAAACAAAACTAGTCCTGGCTTGGAATCCTTTTATCAGTGGTGTTTCTTGATGGACAAGCATGAACTCTGAATCTCTTTAACCTTGTTTCAGGGACTTGATTACTTCAGCGGCAGTAACCCTATCTAGCTGGAGTTCTTGGGGTGCCTGTACAGAAATGGTGGTAATAGCACTGAAAAAAATATTTTCCATTGTTAAAACAGAAATACAAGATTTGGGTTTTTCTCTTTTCTAGACTGATCTCCAGCCTGAGACAGCAGCAGACCGGAACTATGCAGACAATTAAGTGTGTAGTTGTGGGCGATGGAGCTGTTGGTAAAACGTGCCTTCTAATTTCTTACACAACAAATAAATTCCCATCTGAATATGTACCAACGGTGAGTAAAGAACGCATTTCCCTTTCATTTTTACCCCCCCCCCCTTGAACTTTGGAAAGAGGGAATTATGACCTGATGAAATGGACAGAATAATAATATGCATATATTGATTGGGTTGGTTTGGCACTGTATTCTTAAACAAAACAAAACAAAAAGCCTGGTGCATGACATAATAACTAAACTGTACTGCCTGGTATGTTGAAATTTAGAATAAAGTTTTTGTTTGTTCGAATGTATGCCATAGTAGCGATGAAGCAGCAAGCTGATGCATCCAAAGGAGCCTTAACTATTTTAATTAAAATGTTGTTAAAGTAGTAATTTACATTTAGAAACTGTTTTCCTTGATCAGAAACATTGTAAAAAGCCTATAACATCAGTTTATCAAATGTAGCAGCAGCTGGGTAAGTAGGCAATCATGGACTGTACTTTTTCAGACTGGCTTTACATCAATAAAGTTAGATGTTGAAATAAACTATGTTGGGACAATAGTGTTGTAACAGTATTGAATGAATGGGTGGTAGTGTATTCAAGCACACAGTTAATTAACGTAATGACTGATAGAAAAGAAATATTCTAATTAAATCCACATGTGATTTTGAAGAATATCTTTGGAAGTATGATTCTTTCAAGTCTTTCTGTAATCAAACTCACTTTTTCAAAGATCTCTAGCTGCCAGTTGTGAACATCCATTTTTATTTCCGTAGATTTCTGATAAGGGAGATTTGCTTTTTTTCTGCCAATGTTTATTCCTCTAGTGTTCGATCTGAAACATAGGGGCCTTTCTTGCAAGAGAGTTTCATGCAGATATAGCCTTTAGAGAAGTGATTTTCAAGCATAGCATTCTAGGTGCTTCAGATTTCCAGCTGGCAGAATCCCAACCATGCTGCCAAGGTTGAGAGCTAAAGATAGGGGAGCACCACTTTAGCTTGGGATTTCAAAGAAAAGATGCACTTCTGTCCTTAGGATTTTTGTTAGTTCTTCTTAGGAACATGACACACAGGCCTGTTCAAAAAATTTGCACCATTTCTGCCCATCCCAAAAATGTAATACCCCAAATACCATTTTTTAAAAATAATAAAGTGCACTTCCTATTTTTCAGGTTTCTTTCCTTTTTAAAAAAAATTAATGTATTTTATTTGCATTTATGATGGTCTCTGGAGGATCGTGGAAACTGAATGTTAAAGTTTCCCATTCTTGTTGTAGTCCGCTGAACTTTTAGCTTAATTGGCTGAAGTCCTTTATCAGAAATAACTGTGTCCCATAGGTTTGTATCCATGCAGTTCCATGCTAGATGTTTAACTTTGACTGTTGAATGCAGGGTGCAGATCCCTGATTAGTCATGAATAGATATTCTGATCCAACTCTTTTGGCCAGATTCGGCATATTGTCATGACTTCAATGAAATTTATGGTGCCTTGTGTCTTGTAAGCTGTTTGTAACAATGCCGTGGGACAGAAAGCTAGGCATATAGTCCTGAGTTCCTTTAAAAAAAGATGCACAAACAGAATTGTTGGAAAGAGATGGCCTAAGCATCCTCCATGGAGATGTGCTGCTGTTGGAATCTTGAACAAGGAGAACTTAACAATGGCCATGGATGAGGCAAAAGATTAAGCAGGCATTATTTATTATTTGTCTCTTTGTGCTTTGCACTTGTCCATTGAAGAAGAAGCTTGATTCCATTATGCTCTTTGTTCTGAGAGAAAAATGCAGTTACTGGTGCCTATTTGTACATGCCTCTAAAATGACCCTGTATGGCTGTCACCATATTAATAATACCTTTGCTAGTCAAAGTGGTCTCAAAGGGAGCAGTAGATGTTGTCAGCATACATTTCTCTAGTTTGGACATTATCTAAATTTCCATATGTTGGAAAACAAAGGATTGCGATTCAGTTCAGCATGTTCAATATTCTTTTGACCTTTGTAGCAGGAGTGCCAGTCAACTAGATGGAATTTTCCCACAAAAGGTGGGAAAATTCCTGTAGTTGTGATGAGCCCAACGGTAGGAAAAATGCCACCCACCTCCAAGCTGGGGTGGAAGGTTTGAGTGATTGCGTTGTCGCTGAGCAGTTTAATATGGTGTTGAGCATTTCTGAAGCTCTGGCTCAACTGTGGGGATAATCATAAACCCTCTCTTTAGTTCCACTCTTGGGAGGTGGGGATTGCCTTGGGCTCAAGGGAAAGTGCAGTGTAAGGACAGAGCCAAGGGATAAGACAGGATGCTGACTACCCCAAGTCTTTGCTTGTATAAGGAAGCTACAGTCTTCTCTTTCCTTTAGTCAGCCGTGGTACAGCGCTCCATCCGGATGTTTGTTGTCAGGTAAAGCAGGTTCTGCTAAGAGACTTGAAACAAAACCCTGTGAGCCCCCCACCCCGTGTCGGGCACATATATTGTTCCACTTTGAGATTAAAAATTTGGGCTGGATTTCAAATGATCCAAACAAAGAAGAAAGGTGAAAGAAGAATTGGATCTCAAAATTCCTCCTCCTCACCCTCTTGAGAACATCCTATAGGTGTAGTTCCTTTCTCCCCCCCCAAAAAAAAAGTTCTGATAGCCACCAGCTTGAATTTTGTTGGGATTGCTGGTAGAAGTCATGTGCAAAACGCCAAGTCCTAGAAACCAGACAAGCCCTGAAGAAGGAATGCCTTAGTTGCACGGAGTAAGCAAGAATACAAGATATGTGATCCTCCCTCTACATGTACTTTTCTTAGGCCTTGGCAGAGACACATCAAGTCCGGGCTCAACCAGTCTGGGAAGGGAGGATGAGGATTTAATAGCCCCTCATGAAGAAGGCAGCTTTTGCCTCATGGGGCCACAGAGAATTGCTCAGGCTGTTTGCCAGTGAGAACTTTTTAGTCCTCTTGAGCCAAACTCTGGGAATCTTGGGCCTGACCTTCCCAGATAGAAGATAATAACACACCATCACCACTGAATATATAGCAAAGAGTTGCACCAATTGACAGTAGTGGTGCTCCCATCTTGTAAAGCATTGGAACACTGCTAAAAGAGGATTAGGAGCTGCATAGGACAAGGCCTTGAGTCTTAGCTGGAGGCAGCAGCACTCAGATTGACATGTTTGCTAGTTAATTGAAACTTGTGAAAATATGAATGTTCTCCTTTCAAAGTCTGCAGGTGACACCACTTAAATAGTCCCAAAATAGAGCTTTTGTCAGTGGATCATGAGATAACTAATTTCTAATTTGTTAATAACAATAAGATAAATTATTGCTAGGAATTTGAAGACAGCTCACAATAAACCATCGAGTGTTTGGCGTAGAGAAATTTGGAATATGGCATTTAATGATAAACTGCAACTATAGGGGGAGAATGTATTGGCTTTGTGTTGATAAAGGGGAAGGGACAAAGTTAAGCAATGGAGTTTGTACAATTTTGGAAGGCAAAGGAGGCCCTAGAAGTGTAAATGGGATAAGCAGTTACCCCCAAATGGACCAGATGGCATATGTATTTTTTTCTTTCTTGGTAGTTTTGTTTATTAAATGTTTCAATGCTAGTTGTTTTAATATCTTTCATTTTTTTTAAAAAGACCTCATCTAATGGACCAGGCCCTCAATACAGGTTCATACCCTGGATTGGCCTGTTGGCCAGGCTTGCTGTGTGTTGTTCATGCTGGATAGTGATGTTGCACTTAATGGCTTTTGCATCTTTTCCTCCAGGTGTTTGATAACTATGCTGTAACAGTGATGATTGGTGGAGAGCCATATACCCTAGGCCTCTTTGACACAGCTGGTAAGTTGTAGTTGTTTGTTTGTTTTGTTGTTCTTGTTGTTTTGATAATTCAGCCTTAAAGACAACAGGTGACTTTGGCTCCTAGATGCTTATCTGTTTTTCTCAGACTCTTTGTTACAAAGAGACTAGTGTTCCTTTTTTAAAATAAGTCCCTAGCTGTGAAATAAACAATAAGTGGAAAACCTGGCTGTGCTCATACAAAGCAATATGTCCCAGTGCCCACTCAGTGGACAATCTCTCATGGTTGTTAAGAGATTCTCTCCTCTGCTTTTCCTCTTTGAGCTCATGCCACTTTTGAGGGTGCAAAATTAGGCATTAGACCTGCTTTATCTTCGAGAACAGTGGTTCCCAATCTTGGATCCCCAGACATTCTTGGACTGCATCTCCTGATTGCATCTTCACCACTAGCTATGCTAGCCAGGATTTCTGGGAGTTGCAGTCTGAGAACATCTGGGGACCCAAGGTGGGGAAGCGCTGTTCTAGCATGCTGCTGCCAGAAATCCCAGTTTGTGAGGCACTTTCAAGAATGAAGTGGGACTAGAACAGCATAGTGCAGGGAAGGAAGAAAGGGGATTAGGTAGTGTAATGGCAAGAATAAAAGAAAGGTTGTGTTTAACTTTTGAGGTTAAGAGATAGGTCGCTGTATTGGGACATACAAGGAACAGAGAAGCATTCCTCATTTAATGAATATTTGATATGATATCTTGAGTTCTTTATGATAGAACTGGTTAAGATTTGTTCCTCACAAAGGGATACAATGCTGAATGCCTGCAGTGAACCTTTTTCTTGCATTTACTTGGCGAAGTAGATATTCTCCAGTGCTTTATAATTTTTCTCAGTGGGAAAGATTGGAATCTGGAAGAACAGGAGGACACATTCTGCCCAGTGCTTACATGAAACTGTGGCAGTAAACCCCTGGGGTTTCATGTGGTGCCTTGGAGCAGCTGCAGTGGCAGACGAGCAGACCAGAAGCAGGGTTCTGGTGGAGTGGCCATTAGGCTATTCTCCTTGGAAGGGAGAAGTGGCAGCTTGTTGTTGCAAGCTCGCTGACAACTCGCTTCGGACCTTGTGGCATTCAGCAAGGGATCCCTTTATCTCTGGAGGAAGTGGAGACTTAACTTTTCTTACCTATTTAGTACTGAATTAAAGGAAGGCTTTTGTGGGGTTAGTACTACAGTATTCCTCCCTTTGAAATAAAGATTTTAATCTCACCTATCTATAAAATAATAGGGATCCGTTGTTTGTTCTCTACCTAGAACTTGAGGACTTTGATTAAAAGAGGATGATTCCTCTTGTCCGTCCATTGATATGGAAGCTAGTTTAGGACTAAGCAAGAGGAACAAAGATAACTCTTAGGGAGGAGTAGGGTCTCTTCACTAGTATTTGTTTCCTTTAGAGATCTCTGCTAAGGTAACATAAGTGCCACAAGTTTAGCTCGTGATGTATATTTTCAGTTGCATAGCTACTTTAAAAGGAGGATGTACTTGTATGGTACTCATTCCCTCTGAACAGACAGTTCAAGGTGCTTTCTTTTTTATTTATTTGTTTTTTTTATTTTAATTTTTCTTATAAAAATAGGGCAAGAAGACTATGACAGATTACGGCCCCTTAGCTATCCACAGACAGATGTGTTTCTGGTTTGCTTCTCCGTGGTCTCCCCATCTTCATTTGAAAATGTGAAAGAAAAGGTGGGTACATGTTCTGAATAGAAATCTGCTTTCTTTAAAAAAATTGTCACTAGAGATGGGCACGAACCACCGGTTCGGCAGTTCATCCAAGTTATATTTTGGTCATATAGGTGTTCTTTGCTTCCCAGCCCCACCTCCTCTGATGGACGCCCACTCAGAGGCAGCACTTTGGCTTCCCTTCCCTGCCTCCTCTGGGTGCTCTCTCTGTGTGGGTGCGCACTAGAGGAGGTGGGACTTGGAAGTGCCAAACACATGTTCAGCCAACCAATGGTTTGGCAGTTCGTGCCCATCTCTTCTCATCAGGAATACTAAGCTGTTTGATCTATGAATTTAGCATGATGACTGAAACACCCTGTCTCTTCCTTTCAGTGGGTACCTGAAATCACTCACCATTGTCCAAAGACTCCTTTTTTGCTTGTTGGGACCCAGATTGATCTCCGAGATGACCCCTCAACAATTGAGAAACTTGCCAAGAATAAGCAGAAGCCCATCACTCCGGAGACGGCTGAAAAACTGGCACGTGACTTGAAGGCAGTCAAATACGTGGAATGCTCTGCACTTACACAGGTAAGAGTTGTCAATTATATTGTGTTGCAGAGTCCTCTTCTGTTTTTCCTTTGTGCTGGAGAACAGCTAAACATCCCTGCTGTTTAGAAGGTGAGTTCTCTGGTGGGACTCATTCTGATTTCCTTGGAAGAAGCAAACTGCTACTGATTTCAGGTATTCTACAGACAACTTCAGAATCTTGCAACGAGTATTGTAAATATTGATGACGTCAGGGCGGTTGTGTTTCTAACATGGATCTCTTTCATTGAACAAATAGGACAGACAAAATACCTTTTAAGCTGGTGAACAGTACTAGAAAGCACTGTTTAGAAACGTAATGGCAAATGGCACTGGTTTATCAAGATTATAGGGTCTTGTAGGGATGCTAGGTGTAATGTGAATATGTCTGGTGTCAGAGACGCTGTCAAATTAAACCAGTTGACTGGATATATTTAAAAAGGTCCATCCTGCATAACCCACATAAAAGAAGGGAAATAGAATTTGAGAAACTTTGCTACTTCAAGTTAAAAGTGTAACGTTTTGTTTGCTTAGTATATATTTGTCCCTTGGTGCATAGACAACGCTTTGGGGCACAAAGTGCTTGTTCCATACAAGTCATAGTATGCAATGAGGGTTATGCACAGTTATTTTTGCATCTTGTCACTGGAGTGGGATGGGTCAAATTTGGGTGATCTATTCCTCCTGTTTTGTCCATAGTTAGCTAGTGATGGTTAATGCCGTAAGCCACCCAGAGACCTTCGGGTAGTGTGGGCGGCATATAAGTTAAATAAATAAATAAATAAATATTGGTTTCATGAGATTGTAGGTAGTCTGCACAATGACTTGCGGAACTAAGGCCCATTCAGAAGCAAGTAGAAAAGAAAAGCCATGTGATCCATGCATGATACCACAGCCCAGAGTGGAGTGGTATCTTTCTTGGATCACTAAACAATTAGAAACATGATAAGATGTTGAGTTCTCTAGAACTCTCCTTTCCTCAGCCCAAAGCTTTGTTCCTCTTTGCTCAATGTAGAGTTCAAGAGAACACAAAAGCTTGTGTTCCAGTAAATGCTAAAAGTATTAAACATCAGAAAACAGACCTGCTTAGAGAGTTATAGCTGTGCATATCATGGGAGAGATGGTGAGTGGGGAGGAGTTAACTGACAGTAAAAGATCAAGAATGACTGCTTGTTTGGCTGCATGTTTGTGTGTTTCTGATACCATTTTGCTTAGGCCTAGAAAGGAGATGACACCAAAAATAGGGCTGGATGCATTTGTGATTATAATTCTATGAATATTTGATTTTTTTCCATTTTCCAATTGTAACAGCATTAATATCAGTTTTCCATCACCTAATAGTGATAACACATATTTTAGCCACAATGTTTTTCTGTCTCTCGCTTGATAAGTCTTTTCTGGGAGGGCCCTTGCAATGAAGTCTTGGTTGAACCCCCTTTGCCTGACATGGATTAACTATTCTATCTAGGATTTTGTGTTCTTCAACGGATTATCCTCTTTTGTTTGCACTTGGGGTGTTTTTTGAGAGGGATATGGACAGTGGAAGATGTGGAGCAAAGCAAGGATTTCAGTATTACTGTCAAGTTTCTTTACGTACATCTCTTATTCTTCAAATTGGAATTAAAAACCAACCCTTTGAGACACTGTTCCTTTATGGGTTCTGCTGCCCTGTTCATCACTTCAGTCACTGTGGCTTCTCATGTCATCATTGCTTAGAGTAAGTTCTAATGTGAAAATCAGTGTTGGACCTGTTCTTGGAAAGGATCCTTGGTTAATCAATATGAATGTTTTTTTAAAAAATACCTTCTGTTTTACTCTTTTAAAAGATTACTCATAGCAGCATTCTGTAACTGTAATCTAACACAAGCACATTAAATCAGATGCTTAGACCTAGAGTTTTTGACAGCAGAAACAGAAATGATCCAGCATCAAAGAAATTTGTTTTCGGTATAAAGAGGGGAAAAATCACTTTCATTTTAGTGCAGTAAATATATTATGTTGCCATGGGCTTCATATACGTGTCCCAAGAATTGATGAACTCTTGCACTCAGATATCTAATGCAGCAGGCATGAGGAATCCAGCCTTTAGCTATAGATCCATTCTGTCTCTCACCATGGCAGAATCAGCTGATCTGATCACATGAAAGGTCTTATAGGCCTATATTGTGGAACTGCTTAAAATTTTTGCAGTTTGCTCATTTTGAAGAAATAATGGGTGATATTCTCAATAATGAGTGCTTTCCTACATGTACCAGAGAACATCCTATTTACTTGCTGTTGTGGCATGTCTTGTTACGCTTTCTAGTCAGTTAATAACATTTCATAGCATTGTGTGGAATGCTGAGAATGTGATTTACCTAAAGATTTATACCAAGATGTTTTGTTTTATGCCATGATGTTTTATTTCTACCAGGGTTATTTATACCAGATGTTTAAATAAACAGATAAAATGCAGTATAATGACTTCATGTAAATGGCAACATATTTTGATGGCTGTAGCAGACACCACTAGGCATTTGTATTTAGGAACTGTGTAAAGGGCATGCTCGGGTTAAGTCACTTTAAACCCTTCCATTCTCTCTGGTCACTGAAATAGTGTGGGCTCAAAACTGTACTCCTTATTAGAAAAAGAGGGCATTGAAAGTCTCAAGTGGCCATTGTCTTAGAAAATCAGTTATTTATCTGGCCTAGTTATATATGAACAATGTTAAAATTTACATGAAAGGATTGCCTGGAACCATGTTGACACCAAGATTATTGTCTAAAGTAGAAAAGGTAATAGAAGATGTTCAGGAAACCTGTACAGTATATGCGTGCTAGTAAGATGTAAACTTGTGGCATGTGTCTTTAAATTTCTTAGGCCTGGTGGCTGCAGGAGGTTTAGGCACTTTCAGTCATTGTCTTTAGTTTCAGTTGTAAATGCTTATCTGTCAGTTTGTGCCAGTAGCAATCTGTCAGAGTTGCTGGGTTTTTTGTTTTTTCCTCCCTTAGAAGTCATTTTGTTGCTGCAGATCAGTGCCTTTTGCACAAAGCCCTGATTGGACTGTTGCAGCCGGAGCATTTGTTTGCTTGATGTGTAGCATTAATGTCTTGTGCTCTCATGTTGCATTCCTCACCCATCACCGTTTAGCACTATTGCTGCACACAACAGGCTCATAAGCTGGTTTGTTAATGCAAAAATCAGGGTCTGTGAGCTGATAGCCAGATCCTTCCAGCTGCATGCAAACTGATAGTGGAGGGACTATCCATGGCCATAGCTAAACTAATGTGAATTAAAGTTATTCTGCAGTTAATAAGCTTATTATTAGGGAGGATCACTTCTCTGCTCATAGGTGACAGACTGAAACTGGAGAATACTGTATAAAAGGTTGGGCCATGTCACCCTTTTCTGTGATGTCACTGTGTTGTGAAATACTAACACGGGCATCAGCAGTTCTTGCTTACATTGCCTCCAGGAGCAGACACTTTCTTGTGGCAATGCCACCCTGATGCAATGTGGAAGTGGTTGCAGAGAGAACATGTAGACTGTAACCTTGGTTAAGAAACTACTGTACAGTTTGCTTGGCAGTTGCTACCATCAGGAAGAAGCTTCCTTTAGTGGTTTTGTTTGCAGCCAGATCTGCAGTTTCAAGACCTGCAAACACAAGAGCAGGGAATTATATTCCAACGTTTTATTTATTTACGAAATAAATCAGGAAGATGTGTGCTGCAATATTTCATAAAGACCTCTGTCCAGGTAGCATTCATGCTAACCCTCTATACTATGCTTTGTCTGTTTCTTCTTTCCCTCAAAGATTGCTTTGTAACAAAGTAAATCTGCTTTGCTGACCACCTTTATCCTGAATGCTCTTTGTTTTCTGTTTGTCTCTCTCTCTAATCCTCTAACCTGCCTACTATTTTTTCTCCTCCCCTCTGTCTTGTAGAGAGGTCTGAAGAATGTGTTTGATGAGGCTATCCTAGCTGCCCTCGAGCCTCCGGAAACTCAACCAAAACGGAAATGCTGTATATTCTAAACAGTTTCCTCTTTTTCCCCCCCTTTCTTGTTGCCGCTTCCTCTGTCCCACTGCTGTAGAAAGTTGGTTGGAAAAACAAACAAACAAATAAAACCATCTTGACTGAAAGAAGCTGTGTCTTTACTTAATGTCTTAGAGCAAACTCTGTATTAGCTTTTGGGTTGGAAACTGCGTAAAAGTTTGTTATAGTTATGGAACATGGACTCATTTAAACCGTTTGCTTCATGGTTTGCTAGTTTCCCCCCCTCCCTTTTAAAATAGCTTTGACTTGGATTATTAAGGGATTGATGGTCTTGATTTTAAAAAAATAATAGTAATGAAACTTCAGAGGAATTAAGTGAAGAGGTGGAAAGATTTTGAAAAAATGCCCAAATGAAAAGTAATGTGCAATTCATTTTGCTCTTTCTTGTGGCTCTGTTAACTGTATTTGCATGATGTTTGTACTTGACATGGTGACCTGCAAGTGATGGTGAACTGGTGAAAGATTCCCTGGTTTTCCTCTGTGTGGTGGGGGCTTCCTGTTGCTTTGGCTGTTTGTGCTATGTTGGAATATTTGGTTCTGGGGGGTGGGATGGGGGAGGGAAGGAAGTTAGGTGTAGCTGCTACTGTGTGACAGATGTTCTGTTTTCAGTAACATAGTAGCTCTGATTTTTATTCATTCTCAAAGCTGACAATTGTAAAATGTAAAGCTTTCTCTTTTTTAAAAAAAAGTCATCCCTTCTGACTTCTGTTGTTTGAAGGAAGGAAAGGAAATACAATTGTAGTACTTTCCGTTTCAAAATTAAAAATAGTTGTTCCTATAATTGCCTGATGAAGCATTATTCCTGTTTGTATTCATTTGCTTTAATTAACCTTTATGTGCTATAATGCATACCTCCTCCTTTTGTCTTTACTAGACTCGAGTGCCATTCAGTGCTTTGAGTCCTCCTTTGCTGCTTCCGTAAGATGTAGTGTCTCATAGGGATTGTGTTGAGGGCTCTCCGTTCTTGCTTGCTTGCTAATCTAACCAGGGTATCACCCATTCCTTGTTCTGGAGTCCTTTCTTCTTTCTTTTTGAACCAGGGGTATACACATTGTTAGTGCTGTGTTAAAATCAAGACCTCTCACACACTCATACCTGTGTCCACATATGCCTAGAACTACTTAAGAACATTCCCTGCTTCTCTTGATACCCAGGCTTCCTGAAAGCGTTCTTCCCTACTGTTTTATGGCTGTTATGTCAGTTGTGCCGCATAAAGAAAAAGCAAATAAACATGTCAACATGGTTCAGGCAATTAAAAACCTAGAGTGCTCGGAAAGGACTGTTGCTTCTCTGCAGGAACCTGTGCCTCAGTGCTCGGTTTTAATTTTGTCTTTGTGGGTTTATTTTATTGATTAAGAAAACACCGTTTGCTTTTAATAACCCAGAAAATGAGACAGCCCCTTTCTCTTTGCCCCTTTTCAGAAAGGCCTAAAGAATGTATTTGACGAGGCGATTTTGGCCGCCCTGGAGCCTCCGGAGCCGAAGAAGAGCCGCAGGTGTGTGCTGCTATGAACGTCCTTTCCCAGCCCCTTCTGCAAAGCTGGTGTTGATGTCATACTAAAAGCAATGTTGAAATCAAACTAAAGATTCAGATTCTCCAGTTTTTTGGTTTTTTTTTTTTTGCAATAAAGACAAATGCCGTGCACCTCCCTTTCCATACGCTCCTTGTGTGAGACGCAAATGTTAGTGCTCTTCTCCAGTGCCCCTCAGTTAGACTAATTTTTTTAAAAAAGTTGTATTTCAACCGACACTGATCATTACTAGTTTTTGTTTACTGTTTAATTTTTGTTTTTGTTTTTAAAATTCAGGCATGCTTGTGGTGATTCCTTCTGTAACAGAGTAAATTTTAGGCTGTAGCCTTCGGGCCCTGAACTGTTGTTGCTAGGCTGGCATTTCTTGGAATCTGCAGTCTTCTGTGGCCAGCTTGCAATCCGGGGGTGAGCAGGTTTCAATCCTTGGAACAGATTCTAGAGTTGAAATATGTCCCCAACCTGGTGCTTCTTTGAAGAGGGGAGTAGCACATTCTTTTAATCTACATCTCCTCTGAAGTTGCCTTGGATCTGTTTCCCTTCCTTTTCTTCAGGCGGGTCAGAAATTCCCATCCTGCTCTTTTAACACTCAAAATGTAAATGAGCCCTTTGTTTACATATTCAGCCAAAAGCTTTTTGTGTGTGTAATGCACACACATACACACACACATACCAACACATAGTAAACTCTCCCCAACTTTGCCAATTACTAATTTTTTTGTAGGTAGTGTTCAAAAACTTGAGGACTTTAGGCATTAAATAAGCCCTTCTTTTGACAAGCAGACACTTCTTATGACTAGTAACATGAGCGATGTATTTGAAACCAATCCACATGGCTTTTGCTGATGGTAACGGAGGTTTGAAGCTATAAGCTGACTGTGCCACAGAATGGTTCAGCATTCTCTTCAAAGAGAAGGGGAATGACACGTGTCTCGTCAGGAAATAAACATATGGAGGAGAAGAATGTTCAGTATGAGATCTTGGGGACCGGCAGAGGCAGTACCTTACACGTATGAGCGCTTCTGTCCTCCTAGGTTGTCGCTCAGTGTAAGAGATCACTTGGGGCTCTCTGAGTCCAGTGTTAGTAGGGATCTTACCAGAATTATACTCCAACTTAATATTTCTCGATCTTCCCAGACTCTAATTCTTGTAGATTCATTAGTGTTGAACTGATGCTTTTTTCCATGTCTTAAGTTCTTTGTATATGCATTTTTTCAGATGTATTAAACATAAAGTATCTTCACAAGCCTGGCTGAGAATAATTTGTTTTGCCCTACAGACAAGTTGCCTTACTTTGCATGTGTTCTAAAATAAGTGCACTTGGGCATCCGGGAAACTTTTCAGCTGTGAGGAGGTCAGGATCCCCTCCTAGTTGCCAGTTCAAAAGTCTGCTTTCTTTCCTGCTGGCATACTACTTATCCTGCTTTTTCATGTTCAAAGAGGAGATGCCTGAACTCTTTCCATCCACTGCCAGCACAGGAGTAAAGAAGAAACTAACTATTTTTTGTGTGATTTTAATTTTTTTCCCCAACCTTATGAGGAACATTTTGGAAGATTGTATTGTTTGTGCTTTCCAGCATCTTTCATCATAGAATAAAATATCCCTTGATGATCTTTTCCTTGTGGTTTGGATTCAGGAAATGTAAATGTACCTTTCTTCAGAAGAGAAGCTTGCATATTGTTAATGCACAAAACAATTTTTCGTGTAAAGATCTGTGAGTAACTCAAGTGGCACCAATTTTTCTGCCTCTGCTCTACTTCTGTGGTGCTTTTTAAAGTGACCAGTTGCTGTGATGATTTTGTGTGGTAATCCTGACCAAGTTCTGGTCAAGTATCACCTAATCATCCTCTGGTATTTCAAGCTGGTACTGGATTTGAGTTCAGTGGAATTTATGTTCAGTACCAGAATACAGACAATCCCTATAGGAATCCTATTTGTGGTTTTCAAACATTCAATTTTTTCTGATTTTTTGGAGGCTTTTAAAAAGTTAATCAGGTGACTTAATGAAATTGGCTACCTTCCCTCTCATGTTCTGCCATCTATTAGTGTCATGCAAGGCACCAAAGTTTCATGGATATATATCATGCCTCCATTCTCTTTTGCTTTGTTGTGTCTTCTTGGTTCCTTCTCCGTGATTTATTTTGCACTTCAAAATTCAGAAACACTTGGAAATTCTAAAAGACACTCTATAATATCCTGTTCTTGCAAAGTGAAGCTGTAAACACAGAGGAAGTTTTAATTTCTGGCTTTGCTGTGAAAAGTGTATTGAATTGCTCACACTCTTCACCTGTATTAAGATGTGCAGAGGGGAGCTGTAGTAATAATGGTCAGCAGTCACTGTGTGTCAAGAGGCAAGCTGTCTGAAAGAGCATACTGTTCATATCTCTACTGAAGCCATACATACATCAAGTGAATCAAAAGTAGCTGATTCTGAGCAAAGATGGATGTCGTAGTTCTGCTGGAGACCATTGCTTGTTACTGACTCTGACTGAGACCGAAGCAGGTAGGCATGTTAGGAAAACCTTTTTGCAAAGTCAGACTGTGATTATCAATCAACTCTGTGTTACGATAGCTACTGCTTAAGAGAGTAGGCGGTTTCAGACTGGTACAGTCCATCTCATTTTGTTCAAACTATGAAATGACTAACCATTTCATTAGGGGAAGGGAGATAAAAGAGGTCACGTTTCCCTAAACTTCTGTCTTCTGTGGCAAGTTTCCCACTGCAGACTGCTTCTGAGATAGCAAGGCATTTCTTCTCTGTTTATGAACTCTTGGGTTCCTTAAAACAAATGAGGAACACAGAACAGGCAGTGGAGCACGGTGTTTCATTCATTCCTTTTGGGATACAGTGATGAGTCTAGGTAGTCAACCAGAACAAGGAGTATCCATATAAAGACAACAGTCATGCTGGATCAGCAAAAAATACTATTGGATCTACTATTTTATTCCCTCTGTGGCCAGAGATGACTACAGATGAATAAGGATAGCAACAGTCCTCTTTCTCACGTTATTGACACTTGAGGTGTATACTGCTTCTCCTAGTGGAGGTACTCTATATAACTTGAGGCTAGCAGCTGTTGATAGCCTTATGCTTTATGATTTGGCCCAATTCCCTTTTAAAGATATCAAGAGTTGGTGGCTACATCTTGTAGTGGTGAGCTCCATAATTTTAAATCAGGCAGATTCTGCAGAAAAACTAGTTACCTGTCTTGAATCTCCCACCATTCCGCTTCATTGATCAACCTTGCCAGAGGAAGGCAATCTTTTGGCGTGCATTGAGATGATAATATGTAATCGTTATCATCTTAGAACTGTAGACCTTGTGGATCATTGAACCCAGCCCCTCTCAAGGAGGCCCAGTGGGGAATCAAACTCCCAGCTTCTGGCTTTGCAGCCGGAGACCTAAATCACTAAGCTGTCCAACACTTCTGCATTTCTAAATGTCAGTTCAATTGCCACCTGTGTGGCCTTGGGCAAACTGCACCCACTAAGCTGTCCAACAGTTCTGCATTTCTGAATGTCAGTTCAATTGCCACCTGTGTAGCCTTGGGCAAACTGCACAGTCCCGGGGCATCCCCAGGAGAAGGGAATGGTAAACCACTTCTGACTACGGTCTACATAGAAAACCCCAGAAAGGGTTGCCATAAATGAGAACTGATGACGCCATGCGATTATTTTATTCATTATACTGTACAGTATATGCAAGTCATGTACTTATGCAGGTTTAATAGTTTGTCAACTGAACTATATAAGAGGCGAAGAACTGTGTAAAATGTTCAAAGAAAGGACCATATTAGAACTTTGTTCTTGTATGCTGGCACAATTAAAGGGGAGGGGGAAGTGCAGGAAGGGGGGGGGAGAAGGCAAAATAAAGGCAATTTGATTTGTTTCAGTGACCGAATCTTTGAAAGCTCAAATTGGGAAAAAAATCTGCTGGTCTTCAAAGTGCTACAGTATTTGGCCACCCACTTTCTTTTCTTTCTTTTCCCCTTTAATTTTGCCCAGATATCTTAAAACAAGAACATTTCCTGCTGGGAACTAGGAATGAATCTAAATGGTGAGGTTGTACCAGATGCCGCTAGATGGTGAGGTTGCACCAGATTTGCTAGTTCGGCTTCTCTGTTTTCCCTCTTCCCTCAGAAGGCTTTGGTTGCAGGATGTGGACGGGAGGCGTGGCTTGTCCCAAAGCCTCCGGCTGTAATAATTTACATCTCCGGCATCTTTGTGTACTCTGAATGCTGGCTTCGCAGAGTGGCCGTGCTGCAGAGCTGTTTACAAAGTCTTCCAAAGAGATCAACAGAGAGGAAAACTGAGCAGCTGGGCCCAGGTGTGTCAGGGCAAGACTGGGTTCTAGAAAGGCCTCTTCAGACAGGGTCTTACCCTTGCATAATTGAAAGAGCATTTGATTCTTTCAGGTTAAGGGCTCCCTGTTGTGAAACTACCAATGCGTTAATGGTGGTAGCCTCCTTTTCTCCTTAACAGGACAGTGTAAGAGTATGTGGAGCAGTTGCCAGGCCAGCTGCCTCCACCACAGATCACCTTTCCAGATGATTTCGGCTCATCCCTCCTGTTTTTGGAATTGGCATAACCCCCAAGTCCTGAAGGCCTTTCCGGTTCTCCGTTTTGCCACTTAGAAAAGTGAAACCAGTCAGGGCAACCCTGTGTGAGTGCAGGCCTGCTTGTATGCGTGCGTGGTGGGTGGGCTTATCAGTAGCCTCTTGATAATGTTGCTTGTGTTCAGCAAGAGTTTTCTCTGCAAGGGCCTGAATTACGGGTGGGGGAGGGATCCGTAACATCTGTCGGTTCGTTTACAAAGCAGACTTAATAGGATGCTGAATCTGACGTTTCTAGTGGATGATATTCTTGCGGAAACATGGAAAGAGAGAGAGAGAGGGCATGGAAAAGCTGTAGCTTCTTTCTGGAAGTCATAGCTCTGCTCCTGTGTTGCCTTAGTGGCTCTGGATGTGAAATTCTTTGCAACTCATGGAGTAAAGACAGTATTACATGTGCAAGGCCATGCCGTTGTTTTCTGTAGCTGGGGTTCCTGCTAGTTCTGTTTTGTGTTCCCTCGGGTCTCGCTCCCCTTCTCTCCCGTGCCAGCCTTTAAGAAAAAGAAAACCCTAAGGAGGTGTAGACCTAAAAAGAAGCCTGACTTTAAAAAACCAACAATGCTGACATTGGGAGGGGGATCCTTCAAAATCCATTTTCTGTGCAGTCCCCAAAGTCTGAAGACCTCAGAGGGTATCTGATGGTGTTTTGGGATCAGTACACACTGCAGTACAGCCCCCGGCTCAGGCATTTTTCTCCGGGAATATCGCTCCCACCTTACCACCATTAGCCGTGAACGCAAATGTGCACTCCACGGCTCGAGCAGACAGTCTCCCTGGAAGCTGTTGAACGAACCGGAAGGCTCTATGCTCCTCATACACGTACGTCTAAGGGCAAAAAGATGTTTGTCCCTGCAGAAAATAGGCTGCCCAGTTCAGCCAGTGGAACGTTCCTTGGCCCCGCTTTGATCGCAGGGCACCTCACACGCACCGGGACATTGAAACGAGTGAGGGCTGGCCGTTTCTCGCTCCCAGAGCACTTCCTGGCTTTGGGTCCCATCAGCGCCGCGTTCTGCTGGTCTCTCTGCAGCGAGAGGCTAAAAACACCCTTAAAGCTTGTTCCCTCCCTCTGTTGTTGTTTCAGCTGTAGGAGGCGAAGGGAGCGTTGTTGGCCGGCAGCTCTCACTGGGGCTCTTTGCCACGCAGGTGCTGTTTGCAGAGTATTTATATCATCTCCACGGAGCTCTTCGAAAGCCTGGGCTGTTTTGAAACGATCGCCAGAGACTCCGGTCGCCTGTTCTTCCTTCCCCCTTATTTGGGAGGGGAGGGGGGAGGTGTCCCCGCAAGTGAAGTGGTTTTTTTCTGAAACAGGGTCTTGCAGTTGCCGGGCCATGAATGCAGGTTGTCCTGCTTGCCACTTTTCTGTGCGGACTCGGAGGTGTGTGTGTGTGCGTGTGCGCGCATCCGATGACCGGGCAGCTCTGCACCTCTGGGGCTGCTTCTTAACCTGAAGAAGCCCTGGGTTATTTGTGTTGTTCTTGGCAAAGTTGGCCAGGCCCTTCTGAAACACTGAGGTGAGTGTGTATAGAGGTGCTGAGTGGGAGCCAGTCCGGGCTGTTTGTGTTGGAGCTGTTGCAGAGGGAATTAGTTCAACCCTGCTGCTAATTGCTCCTGAAGTGCAGGGCCTCAAAACACTTA